CTTCTTCCAGAAACGGAGTTTTCCACTGATCTTGGTCAAAAGCGCCTTGAAATCTCTGTCACTATTGGGCTATCTGCACTCATCACTAGCTCTGGAGGAAGCAGCTATGGCAAGAGACAATGGTCTTGGAATAAGAAGAGAGGAAAGGCTGGGTCAGGGTGGTGCACCCTGTAATCCCAGCAGTGTGGGGGGCTGAGGTAGGAGGATGCCAAGTTCCAGCCCCTCATGGGCAACTCAGGGACTTGGTGAGACCCTATCACAGACTGAAAAGCAAAACGGGCTTGGTATGTAGCTCAGCGCGAAGGCCTTGGTTCAACAAACAAAGAAAAACAACAAAACAATTAGAAAAGCGAGAGGATGGGGATCTTTTCACCTTTTCACCAATAACAGCATAATTAACAGCTGTTCCAAATCTCCCAGCATACTGAGAGAACTTTGACATAGTTGTATCAAATAGTTTTTATTTACCTTGTACTAATGAAAAGGCTAAAAAATATTCTTTTTAAGTCTGTCTTAGAGCTGTAAAGTGTATTTCATAAAATTATTTATACACTGTATTGCACTTGTAGTTGTAAGTAATAAAGCAAATAGATAATAATTATGCCCCAAAGGCTAACAAAAACCAAAATTGGAGAAAGGATATTTAATCACTGTCATAGAAGACATAAAAGTCAGCAGCTGCCATCATCAGTAGCTCAGTTTCCTATGGATATTTTCCTCTTAAGAACAAAGGCAGAACACAGTAAGCACTGTTACAAAAAATAAAAAAAGAATCACAAGTGATGCCCACAACCTGCTTTCTATCCTGAACTGGGCTGACATAAATAAATGCTTAGACTCTAGTCCAACAATCCCAACCATCCTCACAATTCCTACATTCTACATTTGATCCTTACAACCCCACCCCAAACCTCCCTGAAAGCCACTACCATGGGACAAATGTGACAGCCTTCATTCACATCCATCACAGCCTCTCTGCTCAGCAGCCAGAGTCTTCTTTTATAAAACAGGAGTCAGGGGTGGGGCTGCGGCTCAGCAGTAGAGCACTTGCCAAGCATGTGTAAAGCCCTGGGTTCAACTCCCAGCATGGAAACAACAAAACTGAGTATGTAAAAAATGGAGGCTGAGGCAGGAGGCTCACTGTGAGTTCAAGGCCAACCTAAATTACACAGAGACAGTATCTCAAAAAACCAAAAAACAAACAAAAAAACCCCCAAACAATAGCCAAATAAACCCCAAAAGCCTGATTGTGTCATTCTCTGCATGAAACACTCCAAGGACACTCGGATTGGCCTCGAGCCCACCGGTCTGACCCTCACCTGCCTGGCCCTGCACTCTCCCCACAAGAGTGGCACTCTCCCTGCCAGCTCCACACTCCTGCACTGCACCAGGCTCATTGTGGCTCCATCTTTCTCTGCAGACTCCCCAAGTTCTCTTCTCAGAGCAGCTTCCTGTGGCCAAGCTGTCTGTGACAGCTTCCTATTCTCCACCTTATCACTGTCTGCCCACACCTGCTTGTTTTCTTTTAAAAAAAATGGGGGGGGTCGAGACAGGGACTCATTATGTAGTTGAGACTGACCTGGAACTCACTATGTAGCCCAGGCTGATCTCGAACTCACGGTGATCCTCCTGCCTCAGCCTTCCAAGTACTGGGATTACAGGTAAACAATTTTTATTACTAGATATTTATAACTCATAATGATTACATTCATCATGGGGAGCTGGTAGATGTACATAACACATCTAATTCTTTTTACTTCCCCTCTGCTTGTTTTCTTGGCAGACATGCTAATAACTGCAACTCCACAACTGTCATTCCTTTCTCCCCAGACTAAGCTCCCTCATAGCAGGGATCCTGTTTCTGTCCTATGGTTTGACACTATGCCCCTGGGGCCTAGAAGAGACTGGCACAGGGTTAAATGAGTTTCAGCATGCAATGACTTTCCTCCACTCTCTGAATGCACATATGTAAAACTGAAATTTTCACAATAACCAGGATGAGAATATAAAACTGACAATTCCATAGTAGCCCGAAGTTGCCTTATATCATTCTCCAGCTGAGGCATACGGACTGAGGCAAAGTGTTTTTTACCCATCTGGCATCCTGGGACTCACAGACCTCACATTTTTACAACATAAATGATGCTCAAAACCTGCCAATGTGGCTCAACTTTCAATCTGCTGCCTTAACTTTGGACAATACAAGTTTATATCAATACAACATATCAGCTATTATTTTATTATAGACACTTCTCTTATAATGTGGTAAAATTTAAGACCCACTAAAAAAGATGAAAGAAAACCTGTCAAGAATAATAAATTCTTTTGACAAATTTAAACATTTGTTTTAAACAATAATTTCAACTGACTTGATTTCAAGGAGTTTTCTATGGGCTTTGTTCTGTGTGGAGTAGGAGTAAAAATAAAACTCAATATTGATTTTCAAAGCCTTGTTTACACTGTCAATTCACTACCACCATAAGCAAATAATGAAGAACCTCAAAGCATGTAACAGAGTACCTGCTATACTCAAAAATCTGAGCAAGAAGTTACAGCTTCAGGTATCAAAAATTCAAAAGCATCTGCATTAATGCACTGGACAAATGTAACCAGACAACTAGGATAAGGCCATTTACGAGGCACTATGACTTGCACATTATAGGATCTATTCAAAATTTTCATTGCATCTTAATTAAATAACTATAATAATGGTCATTCTGCAACAAATATTTGCCTAAGGCAAGTAACTAGCCAATTAAGCCTTTTAAAGAGTGTAACAAGTTAAAGCAAAGGGAACCTTGCCTGCCAATTACAGATTAAAATGCTCCAGTTAATTTGACAATGTCTTATTCTGAGGATAGTCTTTCAAAACTACACGGCAAAATGTAATCTCCTTCGAAGTATAAAACATCTACTTCATTTACAGTAGCCTGTATAAGTTTTGCAGGTGTCAATGAAAACCATTTAACTAATAGTTATTATCCCAGGATCATAGTACTTATTTTTCTATTTAAGATTGCATTTTATACTTTTAAAAGTTTACTTTTTTGCAAAACTAGAACATAGCTTAGCATCCCCTCCTTTGTTTTACAAACACTAGCAACCATGCAGTACCTTAAGAATATGTATGGAGCTCATGAGTTACTGCAACAAACTAGCTGACTAGGTACAATGCAAAAGTCCTAGCTCCAGGCCATTTAGCCTTCAGATCTAAGGACCAACGCTCCTGAGGCTCTTTGCTCCTGTTGGTGATTTGCTGTCCTGCCTGCAACAGAACACATCTGCAGAATGCCAGGCTCCATGTTAATCATAGAGCTGCTGCCAAGAGACAGAGAATGATACTCTAGCTGTCCTTAGAATGTCCTTAGGTTCTGCAGAAGGCTCCCAGCAGCCACCACTGGGAATAGAGCTTAGCAGAACAAATGGACAAGTCACTTGCTCTATTGCAGCGGGTTACATACTTTTTTCTTTCAACAAAAGCATTCTTCAGGCACACATTGATAGTGTAGAATGGCAAATTTGAAGTTATTTATAAAAATAAGTGCATTGAAAATCATGCTATGTCTCTACTGTAACGGGCTAAAAGCAAATTAATTCTAGATTCCTTCATGGAGCACGCCATGTCAGCGCTAAGATATACCACCCCCACTATTACTTCAAACTACACTACTACACTTTGCTCTGTCACTGAAGCAGCTGAGATCTAAATCAAATCATGCCAGACTTGGGAAGACAGAGGGTTATCAAACGAAACCTGGAAGTATTCAACCTCAAACACAGCTACAACATTCAAAGTACTTATAACTCCCACAATGAAAACTGCTACATTAGTAGTTTTCAAGTAAATTTCACTACTGAAGGCTTCTGATGGGGAAAAAACGATCTACTCAGACAGGACAAACCTATCCTTTTTTCTTGTTACTCTTCTGTCTACACTTAGAGGACCCTGTTCCCTTTGAGACAGGTCCTGTCTCAGCAGGTTTTACAAGCCTTGGAAATGTGTAGCTGTGGCTGGCCACTGCCAGCTCCGGCTGCATCCTTTAATCTTTCAAGAGAATTCATTTCCTTCTAGGAATATGAAGTGATCTTCAATAGCAAAGAAATAACTTCAAAGAGCAATTCTACTAACCATTAATAAAGCAAAATCTGATAGGATTTGTATTTGGGTCATATGGGAGTTCTTTACTGACATCTGGAGAATCCACCCTGGTTTAAAAACGAAGTAAATGACAAGGGCCAGGTCTTTGGGATTTCAAGGACTTGTGCAAGGACAACGGCTTGTTTTTAACCCCAAAGTTTATAATGGCACAAACGAGTGCTTCCTGTCTGGAAAAAAGAATCAATAATAAACTCATGTCATATACAGGCACTAGAATGAAAAAAGTCTTTGGAAAAATCGAAAGACATTAAACCAAAAATGAAGTGAGAGAATATGTGGACTGGGGACACAGTCCACTGGTAGAGCGCCTACTTAGCAGGCACAAGGTCCTGGGTTCAAGAGACAGCACACGCACACACACACAATTGAGAAAACAGCAACCACAAGACAGCATTTGTAAAGTGGAAGTAAAGGAGGAGTGTGGCAAAGGCCAGCGGCCACAGGACATGCCAGAGGTTCCTCATAATTCTAGGAAGGCCTCTGTTTGCGGAATTCTACCCAAATAAGGGGAAATCCTTACACAAATAGCGCGATGAATATATCATTTCTTGTCACTTCTCTTAAGGTACCTAAAGGCCAAGCTGACCCCTTAAATTTCCAGAAAGTCTAGATATTTACAAATGTTTGATCTACAAGCAAATTTGGCAACGCGTCTTTTTTAAAGACACCCAAGGACAACAAGTCAAGGTGAGTCACGTGCTCCAAAGCAAGTACCCACGGCCTGCTGGCTCGCTGTGCCCTGGAAAGCCTGAGCAAACGATGCGGGTGGCGCCCGACGGTCTCTGTACCTGAGTCCCTCTGCCAGAAGCCCGTCCCCCGGCCGGCCCCGCTGGTCACTTACTGTTGCTGGACTTGAGGTCCCGGTGTAGGATGGGCACCACTGCCTCTTCGTGCAGGTAGAGCATGCCACGCGCGATCTGCACGGCCCAGTTGACCAGCACGTG